CAGCTCAACGATAGATTGTGGCTCAATACAATTTTGTGGCTCAACAACACATTCTGGCTCAACATGAGTTTGCAGCTCCATACAATTTTGTAGCCTCAAGTCACTTTTCATTCCTGGCATAACATCAGAGTAAAGCTATACCTGTCTTGAAGGTAAGTTAATATTTTATATTACATTGATTTTCCCCAGTTTCACCTAGTGTTTAATACCCATAACTATTATCTTTGATATTTTTTTTTTTTACAAGTATGCATCAGATTCCTTTGCTTTACCTGTGCCTTTAACTCATTTTGAAATACCCTATGCTCAGCTTGCTGAGCTCGTCTTTTAGAATTCTGTGCCCTGCATAATTGCATTTTTGCCTTCTCACCCTCTGCATCTTCCCTCCTTTGAACCATTTGTCGTGCTTGTGAAGCATACATGACTCCTCCTTTTTGGATTTGTCTCCGACTCTGTGCCCTGCGTCTGGCATTTCTAGCCTGCTCGGCTGCCCGTGTATGTTCCAAATGGTCCATTGCTAAAGCTCCAGATTGGGCTTCAGCTAAGCCTCCTTGCAGTACTCTCTTCAATTTGTTCCGAAAGGTTGGTGATAAATTACCAGCCTCTAGTTGTAATTCATCTCCTGCTCTCTTGAGAGAAGTAATTGTAAGAGGAATAGTTGTAGAGGATTCAGACGGTTCTGTAACTGGTAGGACAGCAGGAATAACTGCCTCCCGTAACTTGGAAATCACAACTTCAGGATTGAAGGGAACAAGACCTGTCGCACGAAATGCTGATATGATAGTAGATCTCGTAAAGTTTTGCTCTCGGATTAAGTGAATTTTGTCCAAAAATTCACATTTATCAAAATCTCCACACCCAGTACAAGTAGCTGCTTCAACTCATTCAGCATGGTAATGCTTGTATGGCTGAAATACAACCACATCTAAAGGTTGCAGAAGATGGCTGGTGTGTGGGGGGAGACAAAAAACGATAATTTGATACGGATCGCAGTAGTTGAGGAAATCCTTGGTGCAATGGGAGCCGAACCCATCCAGCATGAGGAGTCGGTAGGTGCCAGCTTGATGTTGTGAGGAGAATTTTTCAAAGTGGTGCACCCACTCCATTGTGAGATGATCATTATTGTATCTGGTATCAGACATGCCAACAAGGTAGTCATCAGGTATAGATGTTGTTGTATACCACGGTTCCTGATGAATAATACCAGGAACAATGATCATAGGTGGCAAAGCAAATCCAGTACCACTAATCGTCTCGCACACAGAAACTAGCTCACAATTGGTTGAACTACCCATATCTGGCTGTCTATTTGGATCTCTGGTAATAATCCATTGGTCTCTCCCGATCCCGATACGGAAACCAGTTTCATCGAAGTTGCATTTATCGCAGTCATGTATCGCGTAGTTTTGACATACCCTATTGTATTTGTCAAACCATTCACGAATATTATCAGGATGGTGTCCGCTTTTTTGATTGATGTGCATGGTGCGCTGCGTCCGAATAAAGTAATCGGGATAACGTCTAAGAAATCTTCGGGCCCAATGTTGACTCACAGTTGGTAGAGGAGGGGGTCCTGTCTGTGCATTTCGTAGAATTGTATTTGCACATCCAGTGACCATTGGTAACCCTGCACTGGTACCGATATTATCTAAACGATCTAGATATTGGCAAACTGCCAGTTCTTGATCCTCAGTGAGTTTTCGATTGGCTGCCGGTCGTTCGTGTCTTGATGGTTGACCTCGCCACCGTTTATGCAATCGCTGTTCTGGCACTTCATACTTGCGAGCTAGTGCTGCGATATTGGGTGTATCTTCTCCAGTCTCATAGAGGAAGGTAATTGCTGCCTGGATTCGAACTTCGATATCGTGGTATGGTGCCACATGTTGACTTGGAGGAATGTGAGCAGATGAAGAAGACATAACTGATTGATATGTAAAAGGAGTTTGAGGTCAGAATGATGGAGTTTGGTTTTCAAAGTGATACTAGATAGAACTATTTAAATATCTTATACTCAGAACATTTATAATGAATTCAAGTAATAGTATTGAACTACAAAATTATATTAAGCCATAGACTGTCATTAAGCTATAGACTATTATTGAGTTATAGACTGTCATTGAGCTATAGACTATTATTGAGTTATAGACTGTCATTGAGCCATAGACTATTATTGAGTTATAGACTGTTATTGAGCCATAGACGATTATTGAGTTATAGACTGTCATTAAGCCTTGAACTGTCTTTGAGTCACAAAATTGTATGGGGCTGCGAACTCATGTTGAGCCACAATGTGTTGTTGAGCCACAAAATTGTATTGAGCCACAATCTATCGTTGAGCTGCAATCTTTCATTGAGCTGTCGGGCACTCAGGATGAGTGCCCACGAAAGCTGAGCCAGCGAAGTTTCGGGGGTTACAGCGCCCTAGCGCTGCAACCTTGGCACGAGTACCTTTTCGACACCGGGAACGCGCTAAATCTAGGACATAATAGGGCCAGATTTCCTTCCCCGCAAGGACAGGCAACCAAATCTATTGATCAACAAGCAACATGGCAGAGAGGAAGCACGCCCGGCTCATAACCCAGAGGACACGCGATCGAGACATGCCGTTGCCATGAGATATTTTTTGTTTTTGGAGAGAGAAGGGGTGGTGGTACAAATCGGCGGGTGCCAGTTTTCTTTTTTTATCGTTGATTGTCGGCTCCCTTTCCTCCATGGCAGAAAGAAAAATCCGCCATAAAACTACCAATTCTTGAACGAGGTCTCCCATGTAACTTGCTGGAGAGAACATTTGAACTAGAACCAACAGTTATCATGAATTGCGATGAGCCGTTCCTTGCCATCCAAGATCAGCAGAAATCTATTACACATGCAGCCCCAATTAACGTTTTTCCACCTTCCACCATAGCCCTGCCGTTCCTTCTCCCTTTCCCAAACGGTTCCTGCCTCTGAATTTGTACCTACCCCACATACGCACAAATGCAGACATAGGTAAGAAGGACAAAAGATAAGAAAACGCACACACCAGTGCTTAATTTGACCGGCCCACCTGTTACAGTTGAAAGATTCTATTTCCGCTGAAAAGCGCTAACCCGGCGACTGAAACCCCCAACTCCTTATGATAAATTCGAAATCCACCCTGCTTTGTCCCCTCCATCTTTTCAAATCCTATTTACAACCGGCCTACCTTTCTATACGAGCGTAGCGAGAGATGTCCAGAGGTGGGAGCGGCAGTTTCTCCTGCGGTCGTAAATTTGGCGCAGGAGTATGAGGAGGCATGGGCAGTCCGTTCGGTCACGACCCGGATAATCCACCGGACTACAGTACTACCAAGCTCTTTCCCGTATCTCCACCCCCTACACCTACCTCTACAGCACATGCAATGGCCAACTGAATGAACCAAAACAGCCACAACCACCACCGTTCCGATCCGCTTGACTAAGGAGGGATGCCACCAAGTAGTGCGCTACCTCCTGTATCGTGACAGAATCTATAATTGCTAGCTATACAGGGTCATGGGCAATGGGCGTGGTGTGGATGACCCGGTCAACGACGTGAGCAAGTACTCAGCAAAATATAAGCGGCAAAAGCGCAGGGTGCCCAAGTTGCATTCTTGGCCGTACGTTAAGGCGTTCTTCCCCGAGGAGCTGTGGGACACATTGGGGATAGATGGTGATGGCGATGCAGAGGATGGTAGAGGTAATGAGAAGGGGAAGGCGAAAAAGCTGGTTTTTTCAGCAGTTGATGTTTTTGCTGCGTTAGATGAGGATGATGAGGAGGATGAGGAGAATGGGGGGGGGCCGAGCCGGGAGAGGGTAGTGGGGCGGGGAAGAAGGGGATCGTACAAATGTTGCAGGACGAGGATGTTGGTGACAATGATGGCGGTGATGACGATGATGACGATGAGGTAGAGGAAGAGGAGGAGGCCGTGGATGATTTTGGCGATGATGGGGAGGGGTACTATGATGCCGAGATGTACTTTAATGATGGGGAGGATGGTGGTGGGGATGATTGGGGGGAGGAAGGGGGTGGTGAGGACTCTCACTAAACAGCTGAACCGTACAACTATGAAACGTATCTTTGATTTCTCTGTTCTATCGATATCTATTGCAACCACTCATTCCGAATTCTTTTCCTTTTTCTTTCTTTTCGGAATTTCTTGTCTTTTTTTTCATTTTTTTCAGATCTCGGGGCAAATGGCACCTAGTAATCCTTTGAGCCACTCAGGCTAAGGAAGCGAAAAGAAAACAAAATCAAAGTTTAACCTATATTCGGGTCGAGTTCTCTCGCAGGCCCCCACGCCTCCCGCTAACGGGATTCCCAAACGCCGGGAGTCACCACATCAAGTGTGTATTCGCACCAAGCTCTCCCTCATCACTGACGTCCGTCGGTAGGTGTTCTGCGGTATGGTTGATCGTCTCTCCCTCAGTACTTTGATCTAGAATAGATTTCCAATCCATCCTGTTGTCATCTTCCCACCAACCCGATGGCTTCTCCGGTGGCTCCTCCTGGTATCAAAGCTCCCCTATTGACTTCCCCCCATCGCAAAACCTAACAGAGTTCCAGGTTCTTTTGTGTTGAAAAGCACCGGCGCTCATGCAATCCAGCATTGGTTGTTCTCGGGTAGTGGTACAGAGGTTTCACACTAGCAGAGATTTCCCTGCTAGTATTCGTCGTTGTTGTATTCTAGGTTTCAGTGGTGCCACGGGCGGAAGGTACGGGGGGGTATGACTGTGAGTGTTCGGAAGTCTTCGGTCGTGCTCGGTCAAGTTGGAGGACCTCGGAACAGCTGCTCAAGAATAGCCAGGCACCTCGGATAAAGGATTGTCGAACGTTGAAAACTATTGTGTGAGTGGATAGGAAATGGATTGCTCTATATAAACCCCCCCCTGCGCCCATCCATAGAAGTAGGCGAGCACAAGATACAATCTATCTGATCAAATCTATTCTTTCCTCAAACCATTATCCTCCTGACCCTACGCAGAGTCTTATAACAACATTTTGAACTCTGCACGAACCTTGTCTGCTCCGGTGGGATTGCAGATCCTGCGAACGTTGTCGCTGATTTCGAAAGGGTCCACTATGGCAAACGAGTGTCTATCTTTTATCCGCGTATGCCCGCTCCTGCCTGGCCTAGCAACAGCCGTAACCCAACCATTACCTTACTTATTAAATATGCCGCCTTGGGTCCGGAGGAAGATGACCTCTCTTCCCCATTGGAACCTATGTGAACCGTATTCGAAGAAGCTATGTAGGATCTGGCCGACATGCATTTGGTTCATGGTCTTGGGAAGATTTATGATATCTTTAGCATACCAAACATGATGCCTTCTTTCGCCACCCTGATGAAATATCTGGTCAGGCGGTGCGTCTTCCGGGATCGTAGTGTTCTGCAGATTGATCAACACAGGGTGGTTAACCACTTTGATCCGAAAATGGATTATCATGAGAAGGTAGCCGTAAGAAGAAACGGTACCACGGTATGGGCTATCGATCTGTCTTCTCTTAGCCCACCACTGGTATGTGATAGGGTCAAGTTCACAAAATTCTGAGCTCCCAAGGGGATTGCGAGGTTGGAATTAGGGTGCAAGCGTAAATACCTTTGTAAAAAACAACAATTTCCTTGACTGTTGGATCGCATCGACTATGTGTTTGCGGCGTCCTAGTATATGCACTCTCAGGTCGTTATTAAACCCAATGTCGCAACTCAAGTCACATGAATTACCAAGTATTCGTCGCTAGGTACTTGTAACCAGGAGGCATTTCAGCCTTGTTTCGAATGTGGAGAGAAAGAGAAAAAGGCTGCAACGTGAGAGCGAGAGTTCAAAACCCATGCAGAAGACGGGAAGACGGGAAGGGAAGATAATAGGGAGGGTTTGCTAAGAGACTTCAAGTGCCAAGACCCCCGTTTTACAATGTCGCTGTGACAACGCACTACATGTTAGTATAGTGATGAGGAAAGTGCTGTTATCTGCTATCTGTACCCAAGTTAACATATCCCGAATAACAGTGGGTTAAAAATACAAATAACACTAGCAATCGCTGCATGTATCACAGATCAGCTCAAGTACTTGCAGTATCTGAAAAAGAGTATTCTTACAACAGACTTCGGCTGAGACTAGATTTCAACTCGTCAAGCAGCTAGTGATTCTTTATTCCCCAATCTTCTTCCCTTGGCACAACCTGCTTCCGTCATTTGGAATTAGAGAACTACCAGACCCACCGTTGGCGCCAAGGATTGGTCATTGTCTTTATCTTATCCCGCCTGTAAAACCTCCCTCACAGCGCGGTTTAGCCGGACCCTGCTATCAATGTTTCGTGCTAAATTTCAGAGCGAGTTCTCAAGAAAATTTGATTGCTGATCTGGTGGATTTAGCCAACCTGTACTAAGCTACAATACAGTTGATGAGGTAACTGTGGCAGGTGAGATATCAAGCATCGTCAGGCAAGCGGTCACGTTGGGGTGCTTCAGGACGGGTCTTGGGGGATGAGGATTTTGGTATGGCAGGTTTCGCGACTTGGAATCAGACTAACCCATCGGGGCTGTTCGCTGATGGGGATTGACACATTGGAACAGGCAAGAGCACAATTGTGAATGAACATCGTCTAGGTAAACTGCTCTAATACCCCGCGACAAAACCCGACCCACAAAAAGCGGCAAAAACAGCACCGAAAGAGAAAAAGAGTCCACCGAAAGCGCAAAGGAGTCCCACCCCTCGCCCACCTACCCGCCAGCGCACCTCACCACACCAAACCGCCCCCCCCTCGTCCTGTGTGGATCCACTAAAGTATTATTAGTATCTCCTTTGTAGAATGCCACTCGTCAGTCATGACATTACCTTGATCCTCATATTTGAAGCTCGAGTAGGCACCAGTACGCGGCCCGGGTGGGATTTGTGTGATCGTACAAGAGATAGTTGGACACAGGGTCCTCCCTTTTGAATGCCGCCAAGAAGACGGCAAATCTCCGGTAGAATTCCTCTGCCTCGGGTGGGTCGTTCGCTTTGACCCTGGCATGGCGATTCAATACCTCTATTGTTTCCCCATGGGCTGGAGAGGTTAGCCTTAATACGGGTACTTATGCTGATCAGGTAGCGAGGATTACTTACTGATTTTCCGGACATCAGAGGGGTGAAGTCCATACAGTTCCTCAAATACGTACCAATCTTGTCGTCGCCCTTCGCCATCATACAACAAGGCATCAATGGCAGCATCTCCCGAATGTGCTATGACGTTGCCCTCTGCAATGAAGTTCCGGTCCGACTGCTTGAGGGTCTCTTTCATTATATCCCGTTTAAAGACTGAGAGAAATGGATTCCGAACCCTTTTATAATCAGGCCCCGCAAGCTTCAATATGGATACCTGATCGTTCAGCTCGGCAATCTTCTCCTCGGTGGCGGCAATCTTCTTCTCGCTGGCGGCGACCCCGGCCTCGACTATACGCAGATCCTCCTCGACTGCACGGAGACGGTCCGGAAGACCAGCAAGACCAAGATGCCGGGGATTACTAACGTATAGTTCTCCCATCACCTCACAAACCTCGAGTTCCTCCTCTTCTAGTGTTTGTTTCAGCTCATCATAGGCGTCTCTCTTCATGTCATCCACACTACCAATCATGGATTGGGTAACGAGTATTGCGTCACATGTTGGATCCTCTTGATCCGCTGTCAAAGTCTCCAGGCGATTCCGATTGTCCTTTAGGCATTGGACCAACTCTGAAACTTTCCCGGTAGGATCAAGTCCAGCGTCCTTGCATTGTTGTCGAAGATCCTTCAACTTGGGAGCCATGATTGTTGTTCGACCGTTGGTGGCTAAATCATGAGGTTGAAAAAACTTGGTCACTTCTCTCGGACGAGGCAAACGTACCCCTTTTGTACTAAGCCTTGGCTACGCCAAGCCTAATCTTGCGCTAGGCCGCAACCTGATTATTGTGCCCAGCTTTCTACATCTGCGGCCGATAAATATATTGGTCACGTGCCTTATCTAAGGACTGATCGCCGCTAGAAGGGGCACCAAAATTTTCTTATCAGACTCACGTGACAAATATATCTATCGGCCGCCCTCATATACTCGAGTAGAGGAGTGGAAGCCAAGATTTTTACAACATGAACACGGCGCACCCCATGGACTGATGAGACATGCACATTCTTGCCCTTCCTGATCGATGTGTGGCCTAGTGACTTTGCCCCTCAAAAATCATGAAATATCAAGTAGTTTGTTTGTGGAAAAGTGACTTAGCCACAGTGCAGAGTTACCGGATATGGAAGGTCGGGAATCTGCTTGTCTCCTCCGTCCATGGGATACTGTACTAGTGAACGAGTCATTGTTGCCTCCAAATTTCGCAATCATATTGCCGCATACTACAAATCACGGACGCCATACTTCCTTAATTGCACCCGCTGTCTCTCTACCACCTGTGCGGGCATACCCAGTCCCATAGCTGTGCTGAGGACATATATGCTCCCTTTTCAAAACCGGGAACCAGCTAAACCTATGGCATAATAGGGCCAGCTTTCCTTCACGTCAAGGACAGGAAACCAAATCTACTCATCAACAAGCAACATGGCGCAGAGGAAGCGCGCCGGGCTCATAATCCGAAGGACACACGATCGAGACATGCTGTTGCTAAGATATATTTTTTGTTTTTTGCTGACAGAATGGGTAGTGGTCCAAATAGGAGGGCACGATCCTTTTTTTTATCCTTGTTTCTCGGCTCCCTTCCCTTCATGGCAGAAAAAGAAAAAAGAAAAACAGAAATCCGCAAAGAAAGTACGAATCATTGAATGAGGGCCCCCTTGTAACTTACTATAGAAAACCTTTAAACGAGAAACAACAGTCATCGTGAATTGGGATGAGCAGTTCCTTGTCATCCGAGATCAGCGGAAAATCTATTACACATGTAACCCATATTAACGTGTTTCCACCTCCCACCACAGCCCTGCCATTCTTTCTCCCTTTGCCAAACTGTTCCTGCATCTCCATATGTACCTAACACACGCACGCACAAATGCAAACATAGAAAAAAATAACTAAAGACAAGAAAACGCACAGACCAGCGCCTAATTTGACCTACCCATCTGTTACAGTCGGAAGATTCTATTTCCGCTGAAAAGCCCTAACCCAGCGACTGAAACCCCCAACTGCTCATGATAAATTCGAAATCCGCCGTACTTTGCCACTCTATCATTCCAAATCCTCTTCGCAACCGGTCACCCTTCCTACGCGAGCATAGCGAGAGATGTCGAGAGGTGGGCCCGGCGGTTTCTCCCGCAGTGGTAAATATTGCGGAGGAGTAGCAGGAGGCATGGGCGGTCCGTTCTGTTCCGACCCGGACAACCCACCGGACTACAGTACTACCAAGCTCTTTCCCGTATCTCCCGCCTCTATACCTACCTCCACAGCACATGCGATGGCCGACTGACTCAACCAAAACAGCCACAACCACCACCGCTCCCAACCCCTCGAGTAAGGAGAGATGCCACAGTGTCGTGCGCCACTACCTGTATTGCGGCAGAATCTATAATGGCTAGCTATCCAGGGTCATGGGTAAGGGGCGTGGTGTGGAGGACCCGTTCAACGACGTGAGCAAGTATCATAATCAGCAAAATGTGAGCGGCAGAAGCGCAGGGTGCCCGAGTTGGATTCTAAGCCGTACGTTAAGGAGTTCATCCCCAAGGAGTTGTGGGACACATTGGGGATAGATGGTGATGTCGATGCAGAAGATGGTAGAGGTAAAGAGAAGGGGAAGGCGAAAAAGCTGATTTCTTTGGCGCTCGATGTTTTTGGTGGGTTGGAGGAGGAGGATGAGGAGGATGCGGGGGGCGAGGCTGACGCGGCTGGTGGGAAGGGGAAGGAGGGGGTCATGCAAAGGTTGCAGGACGAGGATGTTGGTGACGATGATGGCGATGATGACGATGAGGTGGCGGAGGAAGAGGAGGAGTCCGAGGATGATTTTGGCCATGATGAGGAGGGGGACCATAATGCTGAGATGAACCACGCGGGTCAGGGAAAGTCTGGCGAATGTAGCGGTGCATGTGGCGATGGCTCTGTCCTGGAAGAGTGGTTGACGTAGTTCTTTGACTATAACACACCATCGTGAAAATTGCCCAATACTACTAAGGTCGAAGCAGATCATGACTCGGAAATGAAAACCACTCCAGTTACTAGTTATATTGTATATACAGCATCCACCACGGTGTCAGTGTGCCGCCACATGCACCGCCACGTTCACCAGACTTTCCCCGACCCCCTTCGTGCACTCACGGAACCCCCCAAACCATAGCGTCCTACCGTCCCCTCCGGACGGGAAGGCGTATGGCTGTCCGTCCTAGGGAGTCAAAAACAACAACCGTCAACCTTTCCGCCCTGAACTAGCGTATCAATAACTAATCCAGCAGAAAGCCCGAACGAAAACAAACTACTGGCATAGGTAGCACAAGCTCAGGCCCCTCCTCTGAAACACAAACTGAAACGCCACTCTTAACTCTCCAAGGCTGGCGACAGATTCAGTCAACTCTAAACACAGTTTACTACAAGAGGGTTCAGATTGTTTAACCGCGACACCCGGAATCCTCTCGCGGTGCGGATGCTACATGGCCCACCATCATAGCTTTCACCCACTAAACCCAGGGCCTGACCTCACTCCTGCACTTTGTCGGAAACCTGTCCATGACAGAGTCCAGGCAGATGTAGCTCCATGATCCAACAAAGTCTGCGGGTAGAAATATACCGATTTGGAAGTGCCCAAGGGGCCGCGCTCGAAAACTAAGCGGCAGCACGATAGCAAGGCTACCCAACAGTAGCAGAATCCATCTTCGGCCCCGCTCATGCCTGTCGGGTGACGACTAGGTCATTATCTTCCCGCCCACGGGGCATTCTGAATTGAACGCCGTACTTATTAAAAGAAAGAGGAGCTAGAATTTCCCGTCTTACCAAAAGGCCAGTTAGTCAGTCTCAGAGGCAGACCAGAGCGAAGGATAGCGCACTGTCGGCTTCAGCCATTTTCTAATCCTCTAGGCCATCTGGAGGTAGCCACTTTGGCCCACCCGCCGCGGGCAAGCGTGGTCTCACTATGATTATTACAGTGCTCTAATATATTCTCTAGTCTTATGGGTCTGATGCGAGTGCTTTAGCGCTGGTAGAAGGGAAAGATTCATGGTCAAGTTTAATAAATGGAATATACCCTAGGAATCGTGGAGCGGGCTAGTCATTTAGTATAACAAAGAAATGAAACTATCTAAGAAGCTAATCCGCTTCTGATATATCACTTTTCCCATATTGACTTCCATTACATCCAAGGTTTGCACTGTGAGTGGTGGCTAGGCGCGCAAGCAAAATTACCGTACCCCCCCTACCTGGGTCCCAAAGCTATTTACGGGGCCAGAAAATGGAGTTAGCGGAAGGACGGTTGAAGCTGCGGTACCACTAGCAACAATCTATTTCTAACAGCATTCCATCAGCAATTAGCGAATGATAGAACCTTCATATGGTCGACGCCAGCAAGAGCAAAGAAGGGAAAAGCAAGTTATTCAGTAAAATCTATTCTGGTGAGCAACAGCGCAATCCTCTAACCTGTACGGGTGCTCAGGTTAACCTCCGCAACCTAATATTTGTGGCCCAGCTTTTGAATAATGTATCGTATTCTTCGGTCCTTAGGGAAGATGAACTGGGCCACGCTTGTCCATCTCACCGCCCTTGCTCACCCTTGCTCACAGCCCATGTTGCTAGTCGGGGTCATGGGTGCTCCATATCTTAGAGAGGGTGTAAGGATACCGCCCTGAAAACAACTGTGCCACAAGCTCAAACCACTCCTGCTAGTTTTTTCCTCAGCTCACCTGAGGTCAGCCTCGTTCACCTGCTCGGATACTAGTATGGTACACCGGATGCCATCAGCTACTGAAAACAGTGTCCGAGGTGGAAATCGATATTCGCGGTGGTAAGATTAAAGCTGGTATTGATATAGTGTTTGGGAAACAGCGGGATTTGAATGGTGGGGTTGTGAGATATATGTTTGTCCCGTGTGGAGCAAATAAATAGTCCACAATCTGGTGGGTTGAAACCTGGGGGGTTTAGAAGTTGCTGACAGAAGGAGGCTCCGGAAAACATGATGTCACACCATTAAATCTACAGCTCCTCCTGCATGAACTTTGATCGGGACAACTCAGATTCCAGAACTGAGACTTCAAACTTCATACATCATGAGCCCAACCTCCTTTCAACCACATTCCGCTCCTAACATCCTATACTGTCCTCCCCTACGACAACAACAACAATAAATTCTCTTACTAAGTTTATGGTAACCCCATTTTTTTACTCCGTCGAAATCCTTAATACCCCAACCACCAAGATTCCCCCCTGGATGGAATCTCACACCATGTGGACAGGCTGAACGCTCCCCTGCTACGCACACCCCAAGCACCCCTCCCAGACACCCTCGGTAATTGCGAGAAACAGTTTAGAGGAACAGGTCAGGGGAATAATCATGAGTAATTCGCCTGGCTATCGTCAAAACAGCCAGGACCTTTCACCAGGGCATCCAATGCCACTTACGCCTCACCTTCAGGATCAGCTTTACGAGAGGCAAAATTACAGCATTCCATTTCTACCAGAAAGCCCTGGGTTTGATTCTCAGCTTTTACCAACCAATGCTTCATCTCAAGAATCTGGTTGACATCTCCGATCCCCCCCAATCGCTCTTCCCGCAACATCTCAAATGTTCCACTCACTTCAATCACTCAACATCCAATGTCATCAAGCACTGGGCTCGCAGTTTGGAGCACCGCTTCCGCGGACGCACTTGTCGCCCCCTTCTGGACCACCTTGTACCCTCGGAGATAAATCACAGCAAACAGTCCCGCTATTACTGCAAAACTAGCCTCCGAACCACTCCTCGATCTCAACCCCTCAGGATCAGCGGCATATGCGCCCTACTATGCAACAGTATCCCGCGCCCCAACGCCCCCACCAACAGCAATCGGCCTTGGGTGGGCAGCTTAAACCACGAGAAAATCCGTGGACTGGTGCAAGAAGGCCTCAATTCCAACACCGCCGTCAGCGCAACGGCCCCGATCAGCGTTCGGGCCTGCATGCCCCTCCCCCTCCTGCTCCTCTGCCCCCAGATAGTCGCAATCAGTTCCCCCCCTTCCAACGGAGCGCCACAAAAACATCCTACCCAAACCTCCTCCACCTGAATCGCCACAGACAAATACATAGGGACAAAGTCAACAAAGGACACAGCACTAACTGCTTCCATTGCCGAGCCATCCACCCCCTCAGTGGAAACCAGCGTTTCAAAACCCTCTAGTGTCTCCACATCCGGGAAAAGGCCGCATGCATCCCCTCAACTCAGAGCAGATGATATATGATCACAATAGTAATCTCCAGGCATTTGAAAGCGAGATTATTGCGGCCGCCACACCAACTCCGCCGGAATCAGCCGGCTAAAACGAGGATTTGAAAAAATGTGGAGCAATCTGCCAAAGGATCTTCACGGAAGGGGAGTCGATTCCCGTCGGAAGTCTACCGAGTAAGTGCTACGCATTTCATTTTTCTCAACTTTCTCTTGACTGTGTACCTTGTAGCCAGTTTGGTTCATATCACATGATACATCTCTAATTTGATTGCCTTGCTCTGCGCTATTCTTTTGGTACAATAGTTGGATTCGAAATTACGAAGTCTGATCGTGATGCCGTTCTCGTGTCTCCCAATCTGGAGAACGTTTTCTGCACCCCCGACAAGAGTGACGAATCAAATTGTCCTCCCCATAATCTGGCGAAAGAATTTTAGTCTGTGGGGTTCGAGGTTTGCGCTACTCTTAAAGACCCGTGTACCTATAATGAAGATAACACTGAAGGCTACAGGTGAGAACTGATTTGACTTGAGTTGCGACATCGGGTTTAATAACGACATGAGAGTGCATAATACTAGGACGCCGCAAACACATAGTTGATGCGATCCGACGGTCGAGGAAGTGGTTCCTTTTCCCGTGGTGTTTACGCTTTCACCCTAATTCTAACCTCTCAATCCCCTTGGCAGTTCAGAATTTTGTGAAATGGACACTATCACATGCCAGTGGTGGGCCAAGAGAAGACATATCAACAGCCCATACCGTGGTACCGTTTCTTCTTACCGCTACGTTCTCATGATAATCTATTTTCTGATCAAAGTGGTTGACCCCCCTGTTTTCAGAAACCGGCAAAACACCACGATCCCCGAAGACGCACCGCATGACCAGATATTTGATGAGGGGGGAGAAGGAGAGCATCATGTGTGGTATGCTAGAGATATCGAGAATCTTCCCGGGACCACGAACCAGGCGCGTGTCGGCCAGCTCCTAGATAGCTTCTTCGAATACTATTCACATAGGGTCCAATGGGGAACAGAGGTCATCTTCATCCGGACCCAAGGCGGCATATTTAGTAAGTACGGTAAGGGTGGGGTTACGGCTGTTACTAGGCTGGGGAGGAGCGGGCATACGCAGATAAAAGATAGACACCCGTTTGCCATCGCGGACCCTTTCGAAATCAGCCGCAACGTGGGCAGGATCTGCAATGCCACCAGAGTAGACAGAGTTCGAGCAGAGTTCAAAAGAGCCTGGAACATTATGAGGGTTTGTGATGGTGAGAAGTCAATGAGGGAGCATGTATACCAGAAGGAGCCACCGGAGAAACCATGGGTTGGGTGGGCAGATGACAAGAGGATGGATTGGAAATCTAACCCAGATCAAAGTGCTAACAGAGAGACGAACAACGATACCGGAGAACACCTACAGCAGGAGGTTAGTGATGAGAGAGAGCTTACTGGGAATACACACTTGATGAGGTGACACCGCGAGTTTGGGAATCCCATCATCGGGAGGTGTGGGGGCCTGCTAGAGAACCCGGCCCAAATATAGGCTAAACTTTGATTTTGTTTTCTTTTCTCTTCCTTAGTCTGAGTGGCTCAAAGCATCACGAGGTGCCAATTGCCCCGAGATCTGAAAAAAAGAAAAGAAATACTAGAAATTCAGATAAGAAAGAAAAAGGAAAGAAATTCAGAACGAGTGGTTGAAACAGATATCAATAGAACAGAGAAATCAAGGACACCTTTCGTAGTTGCAGGGTTCATCTGTCTAGTGATAGTCCTCACCAGCCCCTTCGTCCCCCCAATCATCCCCGCCATCATCTTCCCCATGATTAAAGTACATCTCAGCATTATGGTCCCCCTCCTCATCATCGTCAAAATCATCCTCGGGCTCCCCCACTTCTTCCGCTACCTCATAGTCATCATCGCCATCATCATCACCAATATCCTCGTTCTGCAACCCTTGCAGGACCCCCTTCCTTCCCTTCCCACCAGCCTCTCCAGCCTCGCCCCCCCATCCTCCTCATCCTCCTCACTCTCCTCATCCAACCCACCAAAACATCGAGCGCCAAAAGAATTTCCTATTTCGCCTTCCCCTTCTCTTTACCTCTACAATCCTCCGCATCACCATCACCATCTATCCCCAATGTGCCCCACAGCTCCTTGGAGAAGGACTCCTTAACGTACGGCCAAGAATCCAACTTGGGCACCCTGCGATTCTGCCGCTTATATTTTGCTGAGTACCTGCTGACGTCGTTGAACCGGTCCTCCACACCACGCGCCTTGGCCATGACCGCGTGTAGCTAGCCATTATAGATGCTGCAGCGATGCAGGCGGTAGCGGACTACTTTGTGGCATCGCTCCTTACTCAAGGGGTTCGGAACTGTCATGGTTGTGGCTGTTCTGGTCCCGTCAGTTGGCCATTGCATGTGCTGTAGCGGTAGGTACAGAGGGGGGTGATAGGGGAAAGAGCCTGGTTGCACTGTAGTCCGGTGGATTATCCAGGTCGTGACCGAAAGGGCCGCCCATGTCTCCTCCTACTCCCGCGCCACATTTACCACCGCTCGAGAAACCACTGGGCCCACCTCTGGACATCTCTCGCTATGCTCGCGTTGGAAGGTTGACCGGTTACAAAGGGGATTTGTAAAGATAGAGTGGTAAAGCAGGGCAGATTTCGAATTTACCATGAGTAGTTGGGGGTTTCAGTCGGCGGGTTAGGGCTTTTCAGCGGAAATACAATCTTCTGACTGTAACACATGGGTTCGTCAAATTAAGGGCTGGTCTGTGCGTTTCCTTATCTTTAGTGCTTCTTTTCTATGTCTGTATTTGTCCGTGCGTGGGTTAGGTACACACGCAGAGGCAGGAACAGTTTGGGAAAGGGAGGAGGAATGTCAGGGCAGTGGTGGAAGGTGGAAACACGTTAATTTGGGTTGGATGTGTAACAGATTCCCGCTAACCGCAGATGGCAAGGAACTGCTCCTCCCAGTTCATGACAACCGTTGTTTCCAGCTGAAATCTTTTGTATACAATCTTTCCCTACGTTGCGATCACCCGGTGAAGCGAGCAGGAGGGTAGCTCTTAACTGTGTCCGGTTTGAAAAGTTACACTAAGCTCAGGCTACAGACCTTTCTAGCAACCATACCAGTTTCAATGACCACAAAATAGAGACTTTACAATTTCGCATCCAGAGTCAAATCCTAGCGATCTCATCGGCTAAGAACCCAGTTTGACCCACATTAGAGTCTTTTCACAAAGTCCCTATTTCAGATACATTTTTCCCACCTACAATACCAAACAATAAAGGAAAAAAGTAGAAAAAAGTAAAATAAAAGGAAAGACTGAAACTGTAACCATGCAAGTATGTACAGTCATACTCCGTTGTCCCAGGTGGCCAAAATCCTAAGAATCCGTTCAGGACAGCGAGTTATCCAGGACAACAGGTTCGGTTTTGGTATAAAGAAATATGTAATTCATAGAAATTGATCTGGGACAGGAAAGAATGTGGGAGAGTGAGGTCGGGGAAAACAGGATGCGACTGTACCTGGATGTACCTGAATTCTTTCCATTAGAATAATATTTCTTAAGTAATTGAGGAGTGAGCATACTCGGTATCTTCGGAATTGTCACTGATACCTAGGTCATCAGGAGTAGGATCACTTTCCGAACCAGAAAAAACAGCTTGATCGGTCTGCTCTGTTTCTGGGCTTTGAGAGGAAACAAAGTTTTTAAGCTCAGTCTGCTTAAGCTCAATTTTATGAATCATTTCTGGTAGTTTGGCAGTTTCGCATATATGCTCATTGGCAAGCTGAGTCGCAAGCTTGAAGACTTTAGGCCTTCGGCCTTCAGAAACGGTTTTGGATTTGCGTTGGTTCTGCCGTTCACGTTCCTGGCCAGTAAGGTTTTGCTGCTTACTCTCTCTTAACCTAGTGTTCATGACTCGAGTTTTGAGACTTTCCATTTTTCCTAATTGGCTGTTTTTTAATTTTTCTAATCGTTCTAGTTGACTGCGGAGTTCGATTTCTGTCCGTTGGTTGCTCTCATGGATAATCCACTTGATTTCTTCTCCATTAAGAAAAGCCCTTCTACTGATTGGAATAGTACGACCAGTGTTGACCTGTCTCTTTCGCTTTTGATTTTGTTTCTCAATCTTTGCCTGTTGTTGGACTTCATGTGCAAGTTGGGCCGTGGAGTATTGCTTTTGGGCAGCAGGAAGAAGAAGCTTTGTATGTTTACAAAGATTGTGATAGCTTCGTTTGGCGTGTGGGGATTTCGGAATTGGAATAGACTTCAGTTGATATTTGATTCGTGTACCTAAAGTACTAAGAGATCGAGGGAAATTCGGAATTGATTGATGCCTATATCGTATTTGTCTTGTAGGAGTTAAGGGAATTGAAGCTGATTCTCTTTGTGGTATTTCCGAGTGTTCTAATGTAAGTTAAATATATAACGCTTAAGTTTTTCAAGTAGTAAGTAATTTACCATAATCTTTTCAAGATAAAGATAATACTGGCTCTGGGTACATAGCATCTATCTCTGGATCTTTGGTAGAGTCAAAGGCAGGCATTTTTTTTAATACTTGATGTCGATCTAATGGCCACATCCCACAAGTAGCAAAAGCCTTTTGAATGTTGCATTCAGTCAAAGCTGTAGTATGAGCCTCAGAAAAAAGAGAATAGAGATCTCCTTTTTGGATTCCAGCTCTCCATCCTGAGCGCTGTTGTTGTTCCTGAACAAGGGCTGTCTAATAGTGCTTCATTGGTCCAAATAATCCAACATCCACTAGCTGTAGAATACTAGTTGTATGTGGAGATAAGCAGAAGATAATAATATGATGTTTAATTCCCCAGAGCAGAAACTCCCAGGTCAAATGCGTTGAATGTCCATCTAATGTTAGCATTCGCCATTTCTCTTTAGCCTTTATTGCTGAGAAACTTTGGGATCCAAAGTTCCGCTCCAGCCATCCTAGCGCCAATTCAGAATTGGTCCATCTATTATTACTCCTTCCAACCATTACATTGGATGAAATCTCCTCTCCATTAACAAAATAACCTTCTCGTAACTCTGTAGTCTTAAAAACAATCATTGGGCTCAATGAAGTTCCGTCTGCACAGGCTCCATCTAGGACTGTGATGAGCTCTCGGGAGCCATCTTTACTCTTATTAGCTCTATTTTATTTTCTAAAAACTGCAGACCAAATATAAGTATAAAAAATACAATCTATAACATACCTTGAGCCCTTAAAGCTCCATTTATTCTTAACTCCCGGGTTCCAACAACAACCTTCTGAGAATGACAAAAGCCGAGAAGAAACCCAATGTCATCCATGTTATAGAGGTTTTCTCGGTCAATACGATTTCGATAAATGGTTTCGGTGAGCTGTTAGTCTCATTCTTGGCTTGTAATTAAAGCTTTAGGATTATTACTAGAGATATACTAATGAAAAGTAGCCATATATATTTTCAAAGTTATAGGAGCATGCAGCTCTCTTAAAATAAAATTGCTTGCTCCATGCAGTTTGCAATTTTGGATGTCGGTTGATGAAATCTTTGGCCCAATTTTTTCCTAATGCTATTTCGGAATCGACTCCAATATGTGGTTGTGGCTGTACACTAAAGCTGGAGTTTTGAGATACACTTGAACTGATATCTCTAATGCCTGATCTGGCTCAGAGGAGCTGTTCTGCCATCTTGTATAAAATGCCGACCCGTAGTGGCATACACCAAGAGGCCACCGTTAAACACCAATCTTCAATAGCCTCTTCCTCTCCTTCCGTCATTTTAAGTCTCTTTTGGGCTGCTTCCTCTCTTGATAGCCGTCCGTGAATGCGGTGCCCCAAGGTTGCTCATGCTACAGAATAGGTATCTGCAATTTGGCTTATAATCGGGGCTGGAGGTCGGAATCGAGGATCTTTTTCTGACTTGCGAAATGCTTCATACTTATCATGGTACTGCTCAGTAGCTAGTATGATGCGGTCCTCATAGGGCATTGTAGGCGCGGTGGAATATGGTTTTGAAGACATGACTTGACTGAGGTAAAGTGTTGCACAATATTTCCTATGATATTCTAATTGTCGTATATAATATACACATATACTATCGCCATCATTGCGTAATTTCTTTCTGTTGTTTACATTTGTGTACTAGTTTTTATTGGCTCATACACTAGTAGTTTCTTCTGTCCTAGCTCTCCGCACTTGCTCTAGATCTGGCATCACCCAGACCACCTGCTCGCTTCGCCGGGTGCTCGCAACGTAGGGAAAGATTGTAGTAAGTTACCTGGGAGACTTCATTCAACGACTTTTACTGTTTTAGCGGGATTTTCTTTCTGCCATGGAGGAAAGGGAGCCGAGAAACAACGATAAAAAAAAAAGTCGCACCCGCCAATTTGAACCACCACCCATTCCGTCGCCAAAAA